CGCTGGAGTGCAGTGGTGTGATCTCGGCTCACTGCAAGCTCCACCTCCCAGGTTCACACCATTCTCCTGCCTCAGCCTCCCGAGTAGCGGGGACTCTACAGGCGCCCGCCACCGCGCCCGGCTAATTTTTTTGTATTTTTAGTTCAGATGGGGTTTCACTGTGTTAGCCAGGATGGTCTTGATCTCCTGACCTCGTGATCTGCCCACCTCAGCCTCCCAAAGTGCAGGGATTACAAGCGTGAGCCACTGTGCCCAGCTTCAAACCCTGCTTTCTTTACCAGTTGCTTCTGCCCTTTTTAGGAGCTGAAGGAGAGCCTGAAAGGAGGTTGAAATTGACTTTGGAGCCACTGATGGCTCAGAGTCTGGGCTCAGGTGTGAGTAACCTGACAGTTTTGGGAGTGCCCAATTCTAGGACAGCTGCTGCTGGCACCTTGTGGGGGCCATACTGTGAACTTGCAGGAGACAAGGGGAGGGTCTGGGGCCTGCAGGGGGATGTGGCATGGAGCAGCCACACAGGCCCCCGGGTGTGCTGGCACCTGAGGGTGATATGGGAGTGCGCTGGGGCCCCAGTCAGCGTCACTGACAGGCTTTCTTCATTTCCAGTCCATTTTCGCTACGTGGTGTTTCATCCATTCCTAGACGAGATTCTGATTGGGAAGATCAAAGGCTGCAGCCCAGAAGGAGTGCACGGTAACAGTGGCCCTGATGCCTCAGACAAGACTTGGGAACACTGTGGGGGCAGGAGGTCTGTGCCCATCCACATGGTCGGGGGGGGGCTCAGGTGTTGAGGCTGAACCTTCCCCGTGGTGTCAGAGAAGCTTGCCCACCCTCCCTCTCATGTGTTGTGTGAGGACCTCCATCAGCAGTGAGGTTTCACTGTCAGGCCATCACTCTGGGCTTCAGGGTAGGCACTGAAGCTGGTGGAAGTGACTGGGAGTCTTCAGCGCCCACTGGTCACTGTTGTGTGCAGAGGTTTTGGGGACTAGGTGCTCCGGGCTTTGCCCAGGGCTGCTCGGCTGTGTGGGTGGTGTAGGCAGAGGCATTAGGCGGGGAAGGGGCCTAGTTTTCCATAATGACATCCACCTCGTGAGCAGCCCAGGGCAGGGCTTGCCTGTCAAGCATCAGACCCTGCAATGTTTGGTGTCTACTGGGAACCCTCATCTCAGGCCGTCACCTGCTTCCTTCCTTCCAGTCTCTCTAGGCTTCTTCGATGACATTCTCATCCCCCCGGAGTCACTGCAGCAGCCAGCCAAGTTGTATCCTCCCAAGGTTAAAGTGGTTTGTCACAGAGGAGCTCAGGCCTCTCCAAAGGAAGGTCCCCACTCTTTAGGGTGGCCTTTGGGTCCTGTAACCTGATGCCACTGGCCTCCGTGCCTGCCCCCAGCCTGTGCTTTTGCTCCAGAGGCACCAGCCTGTCTGTGCCTCCCATTCACGTGCCTGTCTTTGTCGGGGCTGTCAGGCTTGGCTGTCTGGGTTGTACACTGCACACCATTAGAGCTGTGGTGTCCCGGGGGACACCATTCATTTCTGGTTCACTTTGCTTAGGTTTTCCCCGCAGCAATCATCTTAAAGATCACGTGCCCTGGAGGCTTACGCTGGTCCCTGGGACGTGAGGCCTTGCCTCTGTGCTGGGTCATGGGCTGAGATGTGTTCCTTCTGGGCCTCCGTTGTCCCTGTCCCACCCCTCACCTTGCTGTACTGGGGTTGTCTGTTTCTGTGGGGCTATCCATGAATCTGAGACTCCTCACTAGGAAGGACTCTGATGTGTCACAGCTGTACTCACGGTGCACAGCACGGGACCTGGCACAGAGGCAGGACCCAACAGTGGGACTGCCACCAGAGAACCCATGGCTCCCCTGTGTGGGCTTTGCTGGGGGCGATGGAGGGCCAAGGGGGGCTGCCCTGGCTGGGTGGCCGCACGGCTCTGGGTCTGTGTGTGACTCCAGGATGTGTTAGAAAACCTGGTGCAGCGTGGCTGGTTCTCTCACCAGCTGTCATCCAACTGGGTAGGTGACCTCCCATCCCACTACATCCTCTTGGAAACAGCAAGTCCTTGGGTGCCCATCAGCCTGTTGCAAGGCTTTGATGAAAAGGGTATGTGGGGCCCCGTGGCAGGAGGCCCAGGTTGCTCTTGTCTTAAGAGGTGGGACTTGGACCATGTCTCGTCCCCTCCTGCTCTGGTGCTCTGAGATCCATGTGCGTCTGGCCGTGGTGTCTGACTGGGGGCCGTGTGTTCCCCATCCTCGGTCCTGGCATCCAAGAGCGCTTGCTCTTCGCTGTTTGGCCCAGGCCTTGCACATGGGGCTGGGACCTGCTTTTGCTGTGACTTCCCAGCCACAGTGATCTCACCCTGGGATTGGTTTTTCCTGGGGTCGGGGGGTGCTGAGGGAAGCCCCTCCCACGATCTGGTTGCTGCCTTGACCCTGGACCCTCTCAGCGACGAAGCGGAGCAGGTGTGGGTGTGGGAGTATGAGACGGAGGAAGGAGCGCACGACCTCTACATGGACACTGGCGAGGAGATCCGCTTCCGGGTGGTGGACGAGAGCTTTGTTGACACGTCCCCCACGGGGCCCAGCTCAGCAGATGCCACCACTTCCAGTGAGGAGCTGCCAAAGAAGGAGGCTCCATACACGCTTGTGGTGAGTGGCCCTGATGGCACTGAAACCACCATGGAGGCGGGAGAGCCGGAGTGCAGGGCTGGAGGCTGTGTCCTTTGGGTTCTGCTCTGGCATCTTCCCCAGCAGGTCAGGGATCCTGTTGGGGGGGCCTTGGCTGGTCACTTCTCCCTGGAGAGCCTGGGTTTCTGTAGGCCAGGGCTGTGAGGCAATAAAGGTACATGGCTGCTGGTGGGGTGGGCAAGTCAGCTTGCAAGGGGGACAGAGCTCATGCTGGACACGACCAATGATAAAGAGGCTTTGAGGCCAGGTGCAGTGGCTCGTATCTGTAACCCCAGCACTTTGGGAGGCCAAAGTGGGAGGATTGTTTGAGGCCAGGAGTTTGAGACCAGCCTGGCTAACAAAGTGAGAGCTTGTCTCTACAAAAATCAATTAGCAGGGCATGGTGGTGTGCCCTGTGGTCCCAGCTACTTGGGAGGCTGAGGTGGGAGGATCCCTTGAGCCCAGGAGTTCAAGGTTGTGCCACTGCATTACAGCTTGGGCAACAGAATGAGACGCTGTCTTTAAAAAACTGGGGGTAGGGAGGCGTTTGAGGGAGAAAGAAATCAAGGAAGGGGTTTGGGAGAGATCAAAGCCCTGAGATTAAAGGTAGGACTGCTGAGCGCAGTGGCTCATGCCTGTAATCCCAGCACTTTGGGAGGCCGAGGCTTGCGGATCACAAGGTCAGGAGATCAAGACCATCCTGGCTAACATGGTGAAATCCCATCTCTACTAAAAATACAAAAGATTAGCTGGGTGTGAGTGGCAGGCACCTGTAGTCCCACCTTCTGGGGAGGCTGAGGCAGGAGAATGGCATGAACCCGGGAGGCAGAGGTTGCAGTGAGCCGGGATCGCGCCATTGCACTCCAGCTCAGGTGACAGTGCGAGACTCCGTTTCAAAAAATACAAATACAAATAAATAAATAAATAAATAGGTAGGGCTCCCTGTAGGAGCAGCATTAAAACAGTGAAATAAAAGGGAGGGCTCCAGGGAAGAGTGGCCCTCAAGGCTGCTCCCTGTTGGATGTGTCTGGAGCATGGGCCTCATGTTTGCTCAGCCTTCCTGCCAGTTAGAACCTGGGTGGCTCTGGAGGGCAGGCCTGAGGGTGAGGAAGGGTCCCTGACCCTGTCAGGGCCTGGGGTCCCTGGAGAGGGGTCTGCGCCCTGCATGCTGCGTGCCCATCAGGAGCACTGCTGTGGCTCCCACGTCTCTCCAGAGCCTCTGGGCTGCCGTGTGCTGCTCCTCCACTTTGCCTGTGCTGGGCCTGCTGGGCTCCCCTCACCTCCCGTCCAGGTTGGTTCAAGCCAGCGTGTCAGTGAAATGTGCGTGTTCTTTCTCTATCCCTGGCAGGGATCCATCAGTGAGCCAGGCCTGGGCCTTCTCTCCTGGTGGACCAGCAACTAGCCCTGGGGCTGGACAGTGGACCCTACCAGCCTGCAGGAAGGTGCTACGGCAGTCTGTGAAGACAAGAGCAGCTAAGGCTGATGCTAACAGCAGCTGAGGCCAATGTGTCTCGAGCTGGACAGTGGGGCAGGGCCAGGAGTGCCCACCAGCTTGCCCCCCTCCTCCACCATCTAGGCCCTGCTCCTCCCCCCGGAGCTTCTCAAGTCGCTGCTTTCAGTGACAGCAAAGCCATTTAATAAACAATGGCAGCATCAGAAGGGAAGGGGCCACCCTTGTCTCAATGGCCAGTGTTATGATCTGAGGTCACTCAGTTCCTGTCGCTGGGACAGCATGGCCTCTCTTACCGCAGAGATGGGCTCCCCCAACCCCCACCAGGTGGCAGCACGTGGGGGCTGTGAGCTCTGGGCTGCCCCAGGCTGGCCGAGCCTGGTGGAGCCATAAAGTACATAGGGAGTAAGGCTGGCTTGCCTGGGGTGGCTGCTTTGGGCACTGGAAGCTGCCAGTTGGAATTGAGTGGGCATGAAGGGGAGGCACCTTCCCACCAGCTTGTGGAAAAAGGTGGGGTAGCCCCTGAGCTCTAGGAGACCAGTTCCTGATCAAAACAGTGGAGGCTCTGGGCTTTGCTGGTACCCCCTACCCAAAATTCATGACACAAGACAGCAGCAAACCTGGGACCACCTGTCCCTCAGATCTCAGCTATTGCCATGAGCACCTTGTGGGACTGCTGGTAACACCCCAGCTCTGGGCCCACAGCGTTTCTTCAGCAGCATGGCTTCGCAGGGTTCCTCCTGCCCCTCTGCCGACACCAGGACGCTTGCCTTACAGTAAGTTTTGTCCTGGTGATGGGGCCTCCATGGAACCTGCCTCCTGCCCTGGCCTCTTCGGCTCTCACAGGACCCCCAAGTGAGGTGCTGGCTGGTGGTGTCAGCTGATGCCACTCCCTTTCCAGATGGCCTCATCTGCTATTGTGCCCACCCTCAGTGTTTAGAGGGCTACATGAGGCCATGCCTGGCATATCAGTGCCCAGGGAAGATGGAGAGTGAAGGCCACTCTCTGGGAGACTCAATTCTGGCCCAGCAGGGAAGCTACAGGAACATGGGGGGCAGGGCTGCTCTGCAGGTGGGGTGGGGTGGGAGGTGACAGGAGAACATTTCTGCCACACCTCAGGTCTCCTTCACCACAGTGATGGATCCAACTGTGGCTGTGGCTGTCGGGCCTCCACTGACCTTGACTGAAAAGACCCTTCCTGGACCCTGAAGCTGATAACAAACGGCACAGACACCACTCACTCACTCATAGAACAGTCACTGGTTTTGGATTCTTGTTTTCCTTGCAAGAACAAAAGGTTCTCTAGAATCCTTCAGCCAACGAAATGATCAGGCAGGAGGAAAACTTTAGATGGGAGTGTTGTCATCAAAAATAAATACAGTTGCATGGATCTGCTTAAGATCTGAACCAAACTAAAAATAGGAAGACAGGGGCTAAAAAGTTATTTTAAGAACCCCCCCACCACAACCACAGTCACTCCGTGGGCTGAGCAGGGAGCAGGAAGCATGTCTGGTCACACCATCTTGGAATAAGAAGCCACGACGATGCATCGGATCCGCTGATGGCGCACGTGGGGCTGAACTTGACGCCAGCGCTGGGGCGGGGCGGGGGGCGGGGAGGCACTGCCCTCACTGCTGCAGCTCCTTCATTCTGTTGAGGGCACTGCCGGCGCGGAACCACTCGATCTGCGTCTCGTTGAAGGTGTGGTTCAGGAGGATGGTCTCCTGGGTCCCGTTGGGGTGCTTGATGATGCACTTCAGGGGCTGCAAGGAGAAGGTGGGTGTGGGTGGAAGTGGTGGGTACTACGTGCCCTTGGTCCTGCAGGGGGGTCAGGGAGGCCGGGCACTGCCTGGGGACCTAGGAGGTCAGCAGGCAAACCGAATCCTAGGCCAGTCTGTGCCTCATGGCCCAGGTTAGACCCAGATGGCACCTACAGGGGATTCCTGGGGCCCAGAGGGTCCTGCAGTGGGTGGGCTGTCCCCTGAGTGTCAAGTCCTAGTGAGTAAAGGGAGGTTGAGGAGGTGGGAGGGCCCTGGGCTGACCCCAACCCCCAACTCTGGGAAGGCGCTTCCCTTTCTCTGTGGGGCCACCTGGAGAACTGGGGGTCTTTCCGGCTGGAATGAAGCCTCCTGGGAGAAGCTACCCTGGGGCCAGTGCAGGAGGGGAAACAAGGTGGCTGCCCCTCACCCCACCCCCTCAGGGGGATCCGGCCTCCTAACCTTGCCAGGGGTGAAGTCCTTTAGGCCTTGAATGGTCAGCTTGTCCACAGGGTGAATCTTGTTGTAGTCGGCTGGGTCCGCGAAGGTCAGGGGCAGCAGGCCCTGTTTCTTCAGGTTGGTCTCTGGAAGGCAGGTGGCATTTGGTCATCAGGGGGCCTGACCAGCCTGGAGAGCTTCATTTTCTGAACCCATCTGGGGCTCTGGGAGTTGCCCCAATCCTGCTGCCTGGGACAATGCCCGGGCATTGACTACAGGGCCCTGGTCTGCTCCCTTTCACTAGGGGCGCCCCAAGCAAGTGTGCGCTGGTGCTGAGGTCTGCGAGGCCTTCCTGCTGCACATTCATGATCAAAAAGAACCCTCTGGCACGTGCCCTTGATCTCAGCGGCTCAGATCTACAAGCCTGGAAGCAGGGCCTGCGGGAAGCCAGGAAGCTGAGCATCAGATGTGCATTGTATGAGCCTAAGAAGGGGCGAGAGGCTGACGGGCCTGTGGGCTGCAGTGGAGATAGCCTAGAATCAGGCCAACTCAGCCACGGGCAGGGGGAGTGACCTTGGTCACTAGGGATGGGATGAAGATGGCCCGGGTGCAGACTCCAGCTCACCGTGGATCCTGGCAAAGCTCTTCGTGATGATGGCCCGGGCCCCAAGGTGGCGAGGCTCCAGAGCTGCATGCTCCCGGCTCGAGCCCTCGCCGTAGTTCTCGTCTCCGATCACCACCCACCTGATGCCATGTTTCTGTCAGGCAAGCGGGGGTGAGGTTACAAGGCAGTCCCCACCTGCCTGGCCTCACCCACCTGGCGCCTGGGCATCCTGAGGCTCCCGGTAAAGGGGCTGGAGGGGCCCTTCCTCACCTGCTGCCTAAGGGCAAGTGAAGCCTGGGTGAATGAGACCCAAACGAGGCCCCGAGGGGACGGAGGCGCCTGGCTGTCTGCAGTGGCACAGAAGACAGAACCCACCCATTGGTGCTTGGCAGGGAGGCAGGTGTGCGGGGAGGGAGGTGGGGGTGAGACAGGGACGGCCTCCGGGGCCCCACCCAAGATGCATCTGTGAAGCTCAAGGTGCCCCCTTCCTGGGAGCACCCTCTGCTCCATCCAGCCACCGGGGGGTGCCAGAGTCCCCTCACCCAGCTGGGCCAGGACTTGTTCCGTCCGTTTCTCAAAGCAGAACAAGTCCAGTCACCTCAGACCCTGACACTGGCCTCAGACCTCTCTGCCTGCTCACTGGGGAGGCCCCATGTAGCCCCCTCTCTGAGCCTGTTGGCCTCTGATTCCCGAGCCGGCCCCCTTCCTCGTCTTGGTCTAAGGCCAGGTATCTCCTGAGCGCTGCTCTCACTAACTCCTCCTGGTGCAGGGACCCGGCTGTACCACCGGACCTGGGCCTCATGCCCTCTTAGCCACAGGGAGGGGCCGCAGGCCTCTCCTTCCTTCCACAGCAGTCCCCTCTGGGCTCAGCCGGCCTCCTTCCTAGTTTCCATTCCCCTAATGTCGTCCCTGCACCTGCCTTCCAGGCCCCTTCAGGAGTGGCGACTGGCACTGCCCGCCCCCATCAACTCTGACCCACCTTGTAGTAGCGGGCAGTGTCAGGGACGGGGCCAAACTCCTGAGTGACGGCATTGCGCACGGAGTTGGCCTTGCCATTTTCAATGTTGATGGCACCAATGAGCAGGTTGTTGGAGATGTTGTCCAAGTGCCCACGGAACTTCAGCCAGGGGCCAGCAGCCGAGATGTGGTCAGTGGTACACTTCCCTTTGACCTTGGGTGGTGAGTAGAGAGGACAGAGGTCAAGGCATGGCCCTGGAGGGGTGGATGACAAGCCCTCCAGAGGCAGGCAGCAGGCTCTGGGGCCCAGGACGGGTGACAGAGGAGTGAGAGGCACGCAAGGTTTTAGATACGTGTTCTGTGGTCCTGGTGCTTCCACCCTCAGGCCACATGGGCTCCGGCCAGCCCATCACTCATCCTCTCAAAGGCCTCTGGCTGCTCAGTCTCCCTTATGGGGCAGGTCACCCAAAGTGGGGACAGGTCAATGTTCGCTCACCCTTCAGGCCTTGGCTGCAAGATCAGCCACCGACCTCATGCCGGACACAGGAGTCCGGGACATGCCTGGGTCCTGGCTGATGACTGATTAGTCTTTTCTGTCATAGGGGTGGCCTGGAGACCCCTTAATAAACAGCATAAATTAATATCTAACACAGATTGGAGGCCTCTGGCCACACCAAAAAGGCTTGTTTTTGGTTGGTGCCAAACACAGGCCATCCCATATCCACGGGTGTGCAACTGGGGGCAGGAGTCATCCATAGCTTCCAGAGCCTGTGTGGACATGCCAGGTGTGGAGCCTGCTGTGCAATCACACACACCGTCCCAGCCCAGCCTAAGCTGTACTCACCTGTCCACACCCGCTGGAGGTGGCTCTGATCAGCGGCTGCCGGATGGCTGAGGGCCCCAGATGGAGGCTGGCCAGATCTAGCTCTGCCCAGTTCAGGGCCACAGAGAAGGGGAGCGCTGGACTGCGATACCCTCTCTGCTCTGCAGCCAAACCTCCCTTTCAGCTCCCACCTGCGACTGGACTGTTTGCTCACTTCCTCCAGGTTCGTGGCCCTTCCCGATGCTCAGGGGACGGGGGGCCCTGGCAGGGTGGGGCTGTCATGCCATCCCCGTGCTGCTGACCTTGATGAGGATCTGCAGGTCCTCCAGGTCCTTGCCATCCCACTTGTCAAAAGGCTCCAGGAGCTGCAGGCGCTGGCTGGTGGGGCTCACGTCCACGTGCTGCCCGCTGCTGTCCTTGGGGGGGTGCTGGTAGGTGTCCTGCCCTGGGTCAAACTCCTGCAGCAGGGGATGGGGATATGTGGGGTGCTGAGTCCTCAGTTCCCACAAGGACAGACTCTCAGAAGGCAAGTTTCCCCGGGCCCCACCTCCCTTCCCA